CCCCCCCCAGCGCCCGGGCCGGGGGCGCCCCCAAGCGCCGCCGCCGCGTCGTCACCAAAGCCTACCGGGTGCGGGCGGGGAGCGGGCCGGGGGCGCCGGGGGCCCCTTCCCAGCGCCGCGGGCAGGGGACGCGCTCCCCGTTAGGAAAAGCCGAGGTCTGAACGAGGCCGAAGCCGTGGCCGGGGGGAGTTTTCCTCCCTCCTCACATCCTCTGCCCCATCCCGTAGGAGCCCCTCAAGAGCCTTCGCCCCAAGAAGACGGAGATCCCCAGCGGCAGCTCCCAGAAGCCCCGAGAGGTGAAATCCGTCCCCTTGGAGCTCCAGGATGACGTGGGAGACAGTGAGTGTGCGCGGGACAGGACGGGACGGGACGGGCTGGAAACGGGCCCCCCGCCGGGAGAGCCCCCGGTGCGCCGGGCCGGCCGGTGCCCGCGGCTCAGCCCCGACCTCCCGCCGCAGGTCGGAAGCACATGCGGCAGTCGACGACGGAGCACACGCGCCAAACCTTCCTGCGCATCCAGGAGCGGCAGGTCCAGTCCAAGCGCAAGAAGGGCGGCCCCAACTACGACCGGCCTCTGACGCAGGAGGAGCTGCTGGAGGAGGCCAAGATCACGGAGGAGATCAACCTCCGCTCCCTGGGTAAGGCGGACGCCATGCTGAGGGGCGCGGGCACCCCCGAAACGGCGCAGGGATGGGGGTGAGGGTGTCGGTGAGGCGCTGAGCCTCCCCCTCGCTTTGTTCCTGCTTTCCCAGAGAACTACGAGCGCCTGGAAGCCGACAAGAAGAAGCAGGTCCAGAAGAAGCGGAAATGCGTGGGGCCCGTGATCCGGTACTGGTCCGTCACCATGCCCCTCGTCCCGGAGCCGGGCAAGGAGGAGAACGTGGACGTGGAGGGGTAGGTTGGGGTCACCGTGACGTGGCCCCCGGGGGTTTTTCCCCCAGCTGGACCCTGGCTCCCACTCCTGATGCCCCTGTTCCATCGCGGTGAGGGAGGAGCGGGTTTGGGCAGCGCCTTGGAGCCCCCCACGCCCCGCGCTCCAGTCCTGGGGGGTGGCCTGAGCAGATTGGGCAGCTCTGCCCGCCGTGGGAGCTCCCCCGGGTTTCCCCCCGCCCCGGGGGTCTCCTGGGCGCTGATTGCGGCTCTTCCAGGTTGGACCAAGACCCGCAGCAGGCCGAAGCAGCTCCAGCCCCGGCTCCGGCTTCCGCCGGGAAGTGCTCCCGCACCTTCATCTCCTTCAGCGACGACGAAACCTTCGAGCGCTTCTTCCCCAAAGCAAAACCGCCGCGGCTGCCGGTGCGGGAGATCTGCCCCGTCACCCACAAACCGGCCGTTTACCGCGACCCCATCACTGACATCCCCTACTCCAACATCCGCGCCTTCAAAATCATCCGGGAGGCCTACAAGAAATACATCACGGCGCACGGGCTCTCCAGC